AGGGCGATAGGGTGGGAGAGAGGGAAGGCGAGAGAGGGGAAGTGAGAGGGCGATAGGGTGGGAGAGAGAGTTGGCAGGGTCACGGCGTTTCCATGATTGACAGCCACACTGGTCTGCCATCCACACCGCCAGGATAACTTTACTTTGTTGCTCTTCTCCCATAGAATAATAAGTTTCGTGCGCATTAGGAAAAATTGAAAGTGTGTTTCTAAATTCTATGACCGTACTAGCAAGTTCAAACCACGAACTGTGAAATTTCGTTGAGTTTCGTAAAAATATTTGCCATAGAAATAGTAAACGTAAGTGTTACGTTTTGTGAATCACAAAGGACTCACAGGACAGTGAATCTGAGCTGATAATCTCTCACCGCTAGCCATTTGTTGTCTATCTGAAGGAAACAGACTTTTTTCCCAACATCGCCCTTCTTTCGTTTTTTTGTTGTAAATATAGGTTAGACGTTGATAAAGATTTTCGCGCTCAAGGCGGAGACAATTTTCATCAGATCGCTGCTTTTTTAGCAGTCCACATAAGCAACACTTTTATTTGTTATAATTTATTTGTAGCAAAAACATATGTTTCTAATACGTAACGCATTTTAATACGTTAGTGTGTTAAACGAAATTTTTCGAGTGTTATTTCGAGTGTTTAAGAACGTTAAATTAGGCCGCTTCTGGTTACATCAACACATTATTTAGATATATTAAAAGTTTACTTAGTTTTTACTTCAGTAAATGTAATAAGCATCACCAAGATGGAAATCCACTGAAACATACCACAGCCTAGTATCGAATATTCTGGGATACATAATATACTCGTACTATTTCATCTGCACTATGACCAAATGGCGGTGCTGTAGGTGTCTTCTTCTCGGACGGGCAGCCGTGGCTGGAGCAGAAGCGCTTCATGCTTCGCAACATGCGCGACTTCGGCTTCGGCCGGCGCTTCCCGCGCATGGAGGAGACGCTGCACGAGGAGGTGGGCGACCTGGTGGCGCTGGCCAGGGGCGAGTGGACGGACGAGGTAAGTGGCACTGATCCGTGCGTGAGGGAGGAAACAACACGCGAACGCTAAAGCCTCAAAGGCACAGCTTTTGGTGAGAGCTCGTACAATGTGGAACATGTTTGGAATTTTGTGGACGTTACATAACTGTTTTAATTATTATTACTATTATTATTACTATTATTTATTATTTATTATTTATTATTTATTATTTATTATTTATTATTATTTATTATTATTTATTATTATTATTCCTATAATTCACAAAGAAAGATGTTATAACTCGGCTGAAATCTACTCCGGTTTGCCACCATCTTCTTAAGGAGGAGATCTATGGATTATCGGTATCTTCTCAGTACTTTTTACATAATGAAGGCTGATCTCAATAAAACAGGTTTGTTGTTATTTTATTATTAATAATAATATTTTACAATTATTTATGTTTTGATCAGGTTTTGTTAACACGATGAGCGTCGATGAAAAAAGCAATTACAGTAGTTAAATGTTAATGAACATACAGAGTGAGTCACGTAACTTTAGTACTACCTGTTATTTTTGAATGGTTAAAGATATTGCAATCTAGTTTTTACGGAAGTGCTTGAGGAAATGGGATTAATTGATACATGTATTCATTTCTATTTGATCACTTGTATTTTACGAGATATTTGAGGGAACTTGTTTTTTTCAAATGGAACTATACATATTTTTAGGGCTATCATGACGAGTGTCAAAATACGAAGTCAATGATATGCGTATTGTCATATGTTAGATAAGCATTTTTGGGTAATTTGGATTTTGTGCAACTAGTGTTTAACGGATATTTTGAATGTAACAGTCCATCACACAAGGTTACGCAGTACTCCCCCTGCTAGCGCGCGTCTGGGAAGGGAAGGAATCTTAGTATTTGATGATACGAAACAAATCCCCAATACTTACAAAACTGTTGCGTTTTTTTACTGAACTCTGCTTTTTTAATCCTTCCGCATTTTCATATTTTTTGTATTACTTAATGATTTAATATTAGGATTTCTCATAAGTAGAAAGAATGTATTGAAATAAGATTGTTATTTAACCGTCTTTAAAGGGTGTCATTCCACAGGATATTAATCGTATCTTGAAACTAAATACACTGCACAGTATTATGTAAACACACTGTTTAGTACCATATCATTTGTTCAAATATTCTGAAATGTCTACCACGTGTTTATTTTGAACAAAAGAAGCCCAGTAACTCTGTGAGAACTTTGAATTACGTTTTAGGTGTCATACCCAAAGATGCCATCACCCAATGTATTTCCCTGCGCAGGTCGCAATGAAGGACGGCTGCATGAAGTTTCCAACCGCTCTTTATCCGAGTTTTATCAACGTCCTGTGGATGATGATAGCGGGGCAGCGTTTCTCACGTGACCAGTGCGACGAATTGCGTGCGATCGCGGAAGCCTCCAACAAATTCGTGCAGAACCTGGATCAGCTCGGAGGCGCCGTAGCGCAGACGCCATGGTTAGCCAAAATCGCACCCGAAGCCACGGGACTACCACAAACCGTGCGCACCAGCAAGTACATCACCGATTACGTTAAGGTAAGGAGAGAGAAGCATTCTGTCTTTTAGAACGTTTTGTGTTTGCACTTTGAGTTCTGTTCCCGAAATGACTTTTTTAGACAGTCACTAGTAAAATAGGATCTTACAGGGCATGGATAGCGCACCAAAAGTTCAATTTTTTGCACTAGTGCTAAGAGACAGACGATGGTCAAGTGTTTAGATAATCCTGTGAATGCAAGAAAGAATACAAAATACTTGTGTCGAGCCTCATCTGCGATATTAAATATTTCGAAACTGAATAAATAATTATTTCGTTATCCCCAATGACCAATCCCGGGAACCAATTTTATTTTATATTTTTGTATAATGACAGAAATTTTTAAAGACAAATAATAATTTTGACAGAAATTTTATTTTTGAAATTTTAATTCCGTCATTTGGTCTTCAACGTACGCTATGCCAATTCCATGTTACTATTTATTAATTTGTGGTTAAATGATTAAAATATTTGTTAATTATTTATTGTTGAACTTTACATTTTACACATTTAAAAAAAATGGTTTAAAAGTATTTGCAAATGTTTTATAATTATTTCTTAGTTATATCGAAGTTTCTATATACCAAAGTTTCTATATTCTGAAGATCATTGAAGGGTTCGTCACATTCGATATAAGGAAGTCGGACTGTATCTTTTTTTGAAAGTTCACGAGGAAAATTTCATATTATCAGATGATCCAAACATATTTTGTTTGCTAACATGTTGATAATTTTGATTTTTCAACTCTACTTTTGTTTCTTAACGTTTTTTTTTCATTTTCTTCAGAATGCCCTGGAGGATCACGAGAGGACGTATTCAGAGAATCATCTGCGTGATTTCATCGATCGTTACATCCAAGAGATGCGGAAACTAGGACCACGAAAAGAGTTCTCTTTTACAGGTAAGTAAAATTCAATGAAGTGGGAAACTGCAATTGTATGGGAAAACATATACTACTTCAAACTTCATGGTTTTCTTTTTCTATGCTACAAACATGAAAGTACTAGATTCATTTAAATTTTTAGGAATACAAGAACTTTTCTTATACCGAAATCTTGATTTATTTCTTTGGCTCAGAGTTAATAGTTTTTTGTCATTTAAGTAATTGAAACTATTTGAATGTAGTAAAAGTGGACAAGTGCCTATTCTTGTGTGTTCTAAAATTGAAACAAAGCCATTATTAGATTGTGCTTCTTTTTTACAATGAGGAATTATGTTGCCATAATTGCTGGTTACTGTACACAAAGTTCACTTTAATATATCGCCAAATATATTCCAGTAAAATCTGTCAAAACCAGAACCTGTACAAGCCGGAAACCTTCCTTAACCGGAAAATTTCTGTGGCCCGAGATATGGTATTATATGGTATTTTACACAGCATAAAACGGAATCTGACCAACGTGGAGATGGAACGTTTATTCATGTCCTGTAGGGGAAAAATCTTTATAAAATGGGATTCCTGGGAAATTAATGCTATTGGCCGAGACGCGAGATATTCTTAATGCAACTGCAAGTCGGTTTTAAATTCTCTATCCCAAGCGATTTAGTCGTGTCAGCCACACTGTGAAGAAAAAGGGCTTCAGCTGACACGTTGAATTCGATCTTGCGGTCACTTGCCTCTTAAGGCCTAGGCCTTAGGTGAATTCTGATTTAGAACACTTAAGTAAAACAGTGCCTTCATGGCACAAAAGTCCAGACATATTTTCTCCGGAACGCGGGTCCTTGCGTCAATGTTTGTGGTGGTGCGTTGTAGAGCTCCAAGGCTGCAACTGCGGTTGATAGCCCTTAGGTGATGTTCAGAAGATCAAAGGGTGAATAAGGACTGCAAATCAACGAGTTGAAACACCCATACTCGCGAACCCACAACCCTTCGCAGCCATCAATTGCATTGATTCGGCCACCTCGGTCAGGGAGCCCGCCGCCAAGGATTAATATTTCTTATCATTGAAAGTGTGTTCAGTTTTTGTCTTCGGTGCAATACGTAGCGCTATGATTTTTACGAACGTACGTCAACCCTGTTAATACAAATATAAACGGTAATAGCGCATTTATTCTAACAATCAATATTTTAATAATAATAAAATTAGATTTATAGGGAAAAAATCTCGGCAGAAAAAAACTCGCAAATTTCTGCGCGTCGAGGAGGCCGTCAGATGCCTACCCTGCGTCCACGCACAAGGAGGCCATTTTGAACACTTGTAGAGCTCCAATTACACGAGGTGAAAACGCCAAATTTTGGCTACATGCGCTAATATGATACACTATCTTTAATAATACTTAAATAATACTTTTTCTCTCTCCTTTCATTTTCATTAGATGAGAAGGCAATATTAGCATCAGGGAACAGTATTTAATGTAATATTTGGGATACATTTTTGGCAAAAAGGGATCAATGAAAAAAAATGTACTTTATCCAGATTTTGAATATGGTTTACACTATTTCCTTTTGCTATAATGAATAACTCGGCGCATTCCATTATCGGGTCCTGTACGAGCAACGTCGACTAAATCATGCTCTATAAGTAGATATATTTTGTTCCCAGATAAGCAGCTCCAACTTGTGGCTGGCGACCTGCTGGTGGCCGCCCCCACCACCGCCTCCAGCACCCTGACGTTCGCGGTGAGGGCGCTGCTGTACCACGCGGAGGTGCAGCACCGCAGCCAGGAGGAGCTGGACCGGGTGGTGGGGCGGGATCGCCTCCCCACGCTGGACGACCGCTTCAAGTGAGGGCGCATGCGCAAACCACTCCACTCTCTCAGCTTTTCGAATCTTTAGGGAACGAAAGTGTTTCCAGCACAAGAAGAAAACCACACAATATATTCAAATTAGGAAAGATACACTTATCTATTTATTTATTGTAGACATATTACTCCTTAATTAATGAACCTTAATGAATTGATGAATCACTACATTTTTCTGAATTACACAGAGTAAGGCAGAATGTGAATATTTGCTTCATTACTTTTGCATTTCTCCGTATTCCGTGCTGAATATATCTGAAAGGAATTAAATAATAAAACTAAAACTAATGTAATGAAAATTAATAGCTCGTACACCTAAATACAGTACAATACATACGGACGGACAGACAGGCAGATCGGACTTCCGGAAAAAATACTTTTTTATATCGTTTATTTCCGTTAAAATTTCGAAATCAATTTTACGCAGCAATTCCTAACTTTCTCTATACTACGTGTATTGCTTCGTATATATGTACGTATACGAGTAAGTATAAACGATAGGTTATATCAGAAGATGTGGTTTGCTACGAGAGTGCGTGAGGATAAGAAACCTTTCGGTACATGATGAACCTCTATACCAGCGTATTATTGGCTATTACGAAACGTCTTTCCGCTTTGAATTACACAAATAACTTTTTTATAATTTTTCCCTTTTGTAGTAAAAAAAATATTTGGAATATTTGAATTTTTCGTAAAAGTGGAAAATGTTAATAAAAATTAAACCATTGCAAATTTTCAAATGTTTTCTTTTTACAATGAGAGAAAAATGCAGAAAATTTGGGAAGAGAAGAAAGAAATAGACAAAAGTAGAAACCATTTTCTGACGTGCTGATATTGGGAACTTATTTAACCATGTATGTTAAAACTACTTCTGTTTACAGGAAGCCTTAGTGCTTATCGGGCTTGAACAGTTGTGTATTGTTTTACAAATCCGACATACTATAAGAAATCTGAACGCATCAATATGCCTCTTTTCTCTCAGTCATCTGTGAAAAGGCTTTGCTACGAAGAAGTGATGTGATTGTACGTTTCTTGCCTCGCAGCTTACCTTACACAGAAGCGATCATCAGAGAGACGTTGCGATTCAACACATTGGTGCCCTCAGCGTTGCCGCACCAAGCCCTAGAAGACACCACTCTGGGAGGCTACGACATTCCGAAGGTAGGAGACGGTTGGCACTTATTCGCCTTTACTCTCTCGGTTGTTTATAAAATATTGTGTAATCACTATAGAAATCTATCTCGAACTGTTAAATAAATTACTTGCACATCTGACACCTAAATGAAGGTTATCAGTGTGTCTTATCAGTGTGAAGGTTTGACTATTTTAAAACCCAATTGCCTTAGCATCTCTTTCAATGCTGGCATTATGCTGCTTCGATGCAATCTTTTTCGTCGACTGTTTTTCTAAGTGGTCGACATTGGAAGCCCTGGATTGGGTTGAATGGCATTGGGATTACATGACTGCCCATTCCCTGAACATCAATTTCTTTTATACTCGAACCACATACTCTTTCGTAGTGATCTATATATTACAATACGTTTTATACCTTAACCTTTACGTATAAATCGGTTTTTTGCCACTTGGATTGTTGCCAGGCCTCGAGGCTTGGTAGTCTAAAGTACACAGAACTTGCGGTATAGCCAAGATGTTATGCAATCTCATGAGGTTATGGTATTTGCCGTTCCTCATAATACAGACTCGCTCGCATTCTTCGCGGGGAAAGCAGCCACTGGCTACCAACTGTAGCTCTACCAGAGTCCAAAAAACCATTCTATGCGCATGCCCGAAAGTGGCTTCCCCCTCCAAAGCCACAAACATTTCTCCGTCTGCCTGCGCTCTCACATCATCTCTCTTTCTCCCTCCCTCCCTCCCTCTCCCTCTCTCTCTCTCTCTTTCTCTGTCTCTCTGTCTGTCTGTCTGTCTCTCTGTCTGTCTGTCTCTCTGTCTGTCTGTCTTCCTCTCGTGGGTCACGCGGTAATTCAACACTGCGAGTTGGGCGATAACAAACTGATAAGTGATCAAAAGGTTGTTCAAAAGATCAACAGAAAACAAGCCGTGTCTTAAAGAAGGTTTCAGTAAAAAGATAATGTAATGGATCAACACATTGACGAATTCGTCATTTCTTTGGACACCTCGGGCAGTGCGAGTTCCCCTTGTAACGATGAGGGCAGTGATGACGAGTGACGGTCAGTGCGATCTCTGTGTGTCGCAACCGCCTCTCCTTGTCTCCTCCGCGCCTTCTTTTCGCCGAGAGCGAAAGTCTCAGCTGCCACAAGATGGGGGAATCCTCCGAGATTTCACGAATGGTACGTCCGTAATGATAACTTTTTTTGCCAACGGTAGAACTATAGTAACAGTAAGGATGGATCCAGAGACAAATTTTGGGTGAGGAAAATCAAATTGTTTTGGTCAAATGTGCCATTTTACAGATTTTTTAAAATGTCGCAAGCTAGATTCAGATCAAGCTGCGACACGATTTTTTTAGTTTGAATAACTACCCGAAAATATTTTGTCGTGAAAGTGTCGTGGCAAGTTAAAATTAATAGATAGTGAAACATTTTAGGGGGAAGGGATTTCTCTCATTTCCCTTCCAGTGGAGCCGGGCCTGGTAACACTGATATGATTCGTACAGCCGTGTTGAATGGCTGTTCCGTCCGCGACGTGTGGGCGACGGGCGCAGAGTTGGGTGGAGGCTGGCACATCAGCCGGCGGATTCTGGAAGCCAGAACTCCAGTGCTCCAGTCTTCCCCTAGTCCACAATCTGGCTTGGTGCGCCGCGCGCAATCGGGACGTCCTGCTGCGCCGTGGCGATGAGCCGTCTTCGATTGCGACGGTGTTCCGGCGACATATTACCTGACGATAGAAATGTAGCGATCGCGGCCACTGTTGCTCTCTATCACGTAAGGGACCCTCACGAACGTAATGATGCGAAGATTGTCCGCAAAATAATTTTCCACAATGAGAAACATGTTTATTTGCTTTGAAATACACATTTTTGGAAAGCTTAAATTTTTTCCTATTTTTCAACATAATCGCCGTTTAGATCGATGCATTTCTGCTTACGGTATACAGAGTTGTATTCATTCCCAGTTGTGTGAATTCTATGGAGAAATGTATATGAGCATACGACACGTGCGCAAATGGTGCAGAGATTAGTACGGCCGTGTTGAATGGCTGTTTCGCCCACGACAGAAGGAGAAACGCTGAGAGACCGAAGGATGAAGGGTCAAGCACTCTGCAAGACTATCTATAATGTCAGCAAGACTACCACTGACAAAATTTTGACAGACCATTTAAGTTACGCCAAGGTTTGTGCGAGGTGGATCCTAAGAATTCTCACGGAAAACCATAAACAGCAACGTGTTGAAGCGGCCCGCGAATTTCTTCATGCCTTTGAACCCGATGGCGAATATTTCTTGGATTCAATTGTTACTGGTGTCGAGACCTGGGGCCACTACACGACACCGGAAACGAAGGATCAATCCCGTGAGGGGAAACAACCAGAGTCGCCTAAGCCGCTGACGTTCAAGCAAACTGTGTCTGCCGGCAAAGTGATGACGAGCGTTGTTTGGTTCGTGCTTAAGAACCTGGAACTGCGAGCAATTGCGTAGCGATACGCTTCGCTCATGAAAGTAACACTTATTTTGGCTGCATCAAAAATTCCATTTTAGGATGTATTATCACGTCAAGTTGGCTTTACATTTCCAACGGGTTTTACGCGCGATAAGCGTACCTGTGAATCGCACTAAAATACGAGTGATAAGGAGAAAGATTGCCGTTCGCCGGAACCAGAATCTCCTCTTCTGACAAGAACAGCGAGAGAGGAAGAATTCAAGAGTCACACCGCTGTGGGCTGCGCCAGCCGAAAGGCAGCCAATAGGCGGTGGCGCAGGCGCGCATTTGCTCTGTTGGTGGCGAGACTTCGCTCCTCCTTTGAGGACTTCCATTTAAACAAATGCTTTGCCAACCGACGTGCCACTTCGAAGCGCCGACGTGCCGCTGCTAAGTGGTGCCATGTGAAGGAGCCCGAACTTTAATTACCGACTTTGGAGCACCGCGGAATCAGCACATCGTTCTCAGAATCGGCGTGCCTTTACAATATCTACATTCTAAATGAATGTGGCGTTGTCGACCCTTTAAACTGTTTAAATATATTTTCAAAATTTTTACTTTCAAATTTTCAACTGTTATAAAAAGTTGACAATTTCTCTTAAGAAGTCCTAAATGAATAGGAAATTTAATCATAGAGTGGTCTGACTTTTTATACTCGAGTGTAATATGTGAAAAACTATCTATTAAGAACTAAAATGAAATAAAAAATAGAAAAAAGTGCTCTTCTAGTCACTGCCCTCCTCAGAATACATACGTGTTTGAAAACTCCTATCCGAACGTTCCCCGAAAATTTGTTTTAAATAATATATTATTTCAGGATATTTCGGGTCTTCTTGTGAAACAAAAATTGTATATTTTCAAGCTCCCTCCAAAACATTCTGATATTCTTGTAGATTTATATTAAAATATAGTTTCATGGTTGAAATTAGCCTACAAAAGGTTATTAACCATTAGCATTATCGCGCATACTACACTTTACCCAATTATTCTACAAAACGATAATTAATTATTTTACGTGATGGCAACATTGACGATGAACTGTTTCTTTCCGAGATATCCAAGCCCTGCATCGCAGACTGTAAGCTATGGCGTCCGGGCAACACAGTTCGAGCAATCCATGATATTTATTGTTTAAGTACCGTGATCCACATCTTTGGCGTCACATCTAGTTGACATCACAGCTGCAGAGTAAAGTTCTATGGGCGCTTTCTGTGCGTGTTCGTGGCGATGTTGAACGAAATATTCAAAAACTGACAGGCGAGGAAGAGCGCAAGACTGTCTTGCTAATTGTGCATTGTATTCGCGTTTCGGAAATGTGATTTTTTAGGAGTAATATCTTGAATGTTTCTAAAAATATTCGTTTGTGACATTGGTTGTAGTAATATACACTTATTATCACGTTCAAAAATACCCAACACATTATAGTTTGCCCTTACAGGGGTAGAGCCCTTACAAGGTTCAGTAACATGTAAAATAGTTAAGAAAATTTAGTACAAAAAGTCAATAAAATACATTTCATTAATAAACAAACTAAAGGACTTAACTTGCAATTTACACAGATTTTATTGAAATGTTTTTTATTAACTGACATATTATCATGCCCTCATAACAAAATCTTCATTTTGCAATTGAAAATATTTGCGCCGTATAATATTCCAGTGTATGAAGACAGAAGTACGTTTCTTAAACATCATTTTATTGAGTGATTTAAAATTTCTTCGAAACAAGTTGTTTGTTCATTGATTGGTATGGCTGTATTTAGCCACTTGAGAGGAAACTGGTGTCAATGGCGGAACCAGACGGAAGGCATGGGCGCCATACTTAGAAGTTTCGTTTATTACCTCCATTTATATGGCAAACTTGATTTAAATATTTATGTTCGAATTATGTATTTATTTAAACAATAATATTGAATAGTACACTACAAAATTATACAATATAACAATAAATATCTTTATTAAGAATCTATGACAGCCCTCGACACAATGATTGGCTGGATTCGTCCCTGACTGGTGATCATCGTGAAATAGTACTGGGAAGTGGTTTGAATCAAGGTCTGCTTGAACAGGCATTGAGACTGATATTGATATGTCTTTGGAAATGAGAACATGAAGAATATCAGCAGTGTTTTTGGGTTGCGTTAGAGAGCAAGTTGTTTCATGGGAGCATGAAATTTCAGGTGCGGAGTGTATGAGCTAAGAAGGTTTAGAAGTTAATTTTTACTGCACATCCCTATATTTTGTTCTTGCTATTAGGATGAGGATAATTGAATTTCAAAGGATATAAGTGCACTATATGTGATATTGAAGAAATTGTGAGGGCCTTTACACTTTACACGCCTTGGAGCTTACTAGGCAGATGACGGAAGGACGGTCTGCCAGACGTTTTGCCGTAAACGAATTTTGGGTATAAAGGACTCACAAAACCTGGGTTCTGCTCACACAACGTATTAGTGGACATTAGTTTTTACATATAGGAGCAATAATTATCAGCTTTTTCTATATCAGGAACCCACGATGCAAGTTTTTCGTCTGCTCTTTTCGGAGCAGTATTACAATACATTCTTTTTACTATGTAAGCTTGTAATATGTGAAAAAATAAAATCAGTGCCATGTCATTTCATCGAGTTCGGGATTCAATAAAAAAGGATGTTGGGATTATATTGATTGTTTCTTTTGCTCTTAGCATACAATTGTCATCTGCAACTTGCATGCTATGCACCACGACAAAGAGCTGTGGGGTGACCCGGAGAATTTCCGGCCAGAACGATTTCTAGACGAACATGGAAAACTGAAAAGAGACATCAGTCTACCATTTGGAGCTGGTAGGTAGCCATATCCCTATTAAAAGAAATTTATTTAACAATATTTAATGTAGAAATCGTTTGAAAAGTGAAGCAATTATCAGATAGATAATTCGGATCTAATCTATTTTCGTTTTACAAATTTTAATGAGATAGCTTGACTGGACGATTCTCAAATCATATAGAGGTATCTTAAAATCTTCACTGTCTCATTGTTAAGTACCCTTTTTTAAAGTTGAGAGCACACGAGTTTTGCCATTTTAGAATAAAGTCATGTGCATGTTCAAATGACATTAAGCCATTTGTGTATTTTGAAATGAATTTGACTTCTAAATGATGAAGAGCAATTAATTTTATTATTGTACTATAATTTATTATTTATTTAATATATAACAATTATTTTTCCTTTAATATATTATTATTATTATTATTATATTATTATTATTATATTATTATTATTATATTATTATTATTATTATATTATTATTATTATATTATTATTATTATTATATTATTATTTTATTATTATTATTATTATTATTATTATTGAAAGATAGAACCACTCACGTTATTTCCTTCTTTTCGTAGGGAAACGGTTATGCGCTGGAGAAACCTTCGCACGGCAAGGAATGTTCGTTGTTCTTGCTGCGCTGTTACAAAACTTCAACCTCGAAGCAAAGGATCGCAGCAGTTTGCCACCAATTGACCACGCAATTAACGGACTGACCCTCACTTCTAATAATATGTGGGTGCGAATGATTCCCCGACATTGATTGCAGAAGTGGATTCTGACTGGAGGCACAGGCGCTTTGTTCAGTGGCTGTACGAGCATTGCCAAGAAGCTAGACGACGAATACTCAGCGGCTTGAGAAATTGGTGCTATCACTTTGTAGTGCATGCATTTGCTATTCACTTTGTAATTGATAGACTTTTATTCGCTTTGTTTGAAATATATACGTTCGCACGAGCAAACACTTTTATGAGATTAAAATTATCAAATTACAAAAGATATTGAATAGTATGTGTTATGAAACAATGAAGTAATAAGAAGAACTAATACACGAATATGAGATAATATTACATTACGAGCTAACAATGAGAGATTATTGTAAACTTCAAACAAACGTATTAATTATCTTTTACCGCAAGATGTCTACAGTATTTTTTCTACGACTAATGATTGTGCTATTGTGAGTTAAAGTTTTATATTGAACAGTTTACCATTAAGGGGAATCTGGTACTAATGAATTTAGCGATCGCCACATAGCGCACACCGACCTTTGTCTTAAGTGGCAGTGGTTAAGTACTAGCACAATACGAGTTCAAACAAGCAGAATACGGGTCAAGTTGGGATTCATTCAATATATCAAAGAAATGGCATCAAAGTTCAGTATTTGTTCGTATTTCTTGTCACATTAAACCTGAACAAAATTCAAAACATTTCATAGAACACATGTACTCTAACGAAGCAAGCTGTTTCATATTAAATATATAATATATAATTATATTATTACAGACTGCCTTGGTAAAACAATCCAGATGCATTAAAAAAATGCTGTGCTTTCGTTTATCAACTGGAATAAGACGGTCAACAGACGAGGTTTTATCTTGCTCGTAAATGTTAGAATTTAGCGGGAGATTGAGTTTGAATTCGCGCCACAAATATTGTTAAAAATATAAATAGTAGAATAAAATTATGGAGTTTAGTGAATTAGAGAAGTAAATAGAATGTTTGTATGAAAGAGTGCACTTTAAGAACAAAAATGGTAATGATGATGCGTCAATCAGACACACCTGCAGTCTTTGGATGGAGGACAATCTTCCTATGATATAGCTGAGTACTCTATGAAAGAGGTTTATTTGTAAAAGGCCGAAGAAATGACACAACGGAATATAGCGGAGAACAAATCAGCAAGACATCATGAATACGCAAACAAACTTAATTGGAATTCATTTATCTGTGTTTGTTGTTTCCAATGGTAATTTGTTGTTTTGAATGTACGTTTTGTTATATAGTTTAGTAAAATTATAAGTAGAAATGAACCGGATTCTTAAAATAAATTGTATATATGAGAGATTGTAAATGAATAATTTAATGAGAATCATACTCTAATTTTTTGGCACAGCATTTTCATTTACAGATAGATATGCAACCTGCTAGAGGTTTTGAGCTGCGAAGTGCACAGAGAGGTGCAGGCTGTAAGGGATCTATTTTCGCAACATTACATTAAGAAATGATTAAGTCACTAATACATTTTGGTGAAATTCTGATACCTCCGATATTCGTACTGATGGCAGAAGACATGCGGCAGTTTTGAAAATCAATGATATGATAATACGTCACGAATATATCCAAAATAGATATAAAGACTTTTTAAAATGACGTTCTGTATTCTTTTGTTGGATTCTTAGGAATAAAATATTCATAAGAAAGATTTCAAATCAACAACTCTGCCATGCGTGACATAAAAAAAAACTTATTTTTGGAAAATGTTCCACATTTTCCGTTGTGGACCATCGTACTTGTACTAGATTAATTTTCCACCTCGATAGAAGCACGATGGTGCTTCAATGCATTCGGGGTAAAAAATAATTTTCCGCCCAATAGTTATAGTTTGCTCCCTTGTGATTAAATCGCACCGGAAGTTTAAAGCCGAATCCTTTTACTTTTCTCTAAATCATTTACCTTATTAATCTATTTCGATAGAAAAAAGATGAGATAAATTTGTTTGAACTACAAATGGGCATAACACGGTGGCAGCTTATTACATAAATAAGATAAAACAACTAACATGCAAATTATATATTATTATTATTAACAACAACAATAATGGTACAATAATAATCATGGAAACAATAAAAACAGCTGATAAAACAACAATAATATTAACATTAAATAAAAATAATAATGATATAAAAATGTCTAATTCATAAAGCATTAAATTACATTAATCTATAATCTAACTCGGCACTAAATTTTTGTTCAATTAAGACCACACTGCACTTCACTACACTTCACTTGACAATGACCCTTTAATCACTTCCTTCATTATTTCTCTGTTCCACACTGCACGACACCTCACTTCATAATATATTACTTACGCATCGTTCTATAACCTACTATTCTCAGTTAACTCCCTGATTTACTTAGTAATACCGTAAATTAATTTCCAAAACTGTTGAACGCTACGAGGAAAGGGTTCAAAGGTTTTTGCACCCTTTCCTCGCAGCGTTCAACAGTTTAGGAAATTAAATAAGAATACATTATGTATATAGTGTATAATGTTTCTAGTCTGGCTTGGCGTGGCATAATGCGGCCTGCTCTGCCCTAGATTGTCCTGGCCTACTAGTCAGACTCTAATTGCCACCGTCCTTGCCCTATGCCCCTTGCTTGACTCCGATACTACCCGCCTTACCCGCATGTTGTGCGTGTCGCCGACATTTCAAACAAATACTTTGTCATATTATTAACCTTTATATAACATTCGCAAAAATCTAAACTACATATGGGAACAACAGGTATTTTTAGCTTTTGAACGATACCTCATTTGATGCGACCGACTGAATAGTTCATCCAGGGAAGGGATGTTTATATTAGCACGTTATGGAGATAATATATGATAAATTATAATTTATCATTTAATATTATTAAGAATTATAAATATTAATTATATTAATAAATATTAGTGATATAGTTAATAATATCTAATAATTATTGATAATGGAAGTATTCGACCCGAAAACCTTCGGGTGAGCTTGCGGGCACTCGTGCTTGAAGTGCCCTGCTTGGCCGCCAGATGGTGACACTTACCACCGAGATGCCGGGCGCTGCGGTTCGCGCCCGGTGAGCACCGGAAGGCTGGGGGAGGGGGGCAATGAGGGAGTGGGATCCTTCCTCCCTTACAGCGCACAGTGTGTATTTTCAGGAATACAGCTCGTAAAAAATCATTTTTCGACCCATTTCCTATATATTTTTGGAGTTGCTCATACTATTCTCCTATACCTAGAGCATCTGGTAACATAGTTTGTTTTATGTTTGGGATTGCATTAGCGCTGCTGGAAACCTTCGGTTGTTGGGGTTCGTAGAAGGTCACTGCGTGCCCTCACTAGAGATTGATAGTGTGCATTTTCAACACCTGTTCCCAGAGGAATCCTCTACAGGAGTATTCACGTCTTTGCTGAATATCATAGTGTAAGGTATGTACTTTACTATGAAACTTTCATATATTACGTTCTGATTGAGGAACACATTATTAAACGTTTTTGAATGTAAGATAGTAACATTTCCATAAAATTCTTCAACTTTGCTTCTATCGAGGTCCATATATAAAAAAAAGTGACGAGGAGTTACAGCGGGAAAATGTCTCGTTTATTTTGCTTTATTATTCATTTACAATATACACTTCCAGAAAATAATATTTTTCTTAAACGATGCAGGCCATCCGAAGACGGCCTTTGCTTGTTTGTCTTCTGGTGAACTTCTGGTAGTGCATCGCTAAATCAGGACGTTTATCGATTTGGTACAAAAAATGTTTACATGACTTCTCAGATGATATATCTAATTTGGTTACGACCACCATTAATGTATTTATTGCTCAAATAAGCTCTCGAGGGGCGAAGTGCAACAGAACACTAGAACTTTTTCTTAAACGCTACTCATCCTGGCTTAATGAAGACGTTAATTTTGATAGTCGTGTTTATCTTCCCATCCCTTCAAGTAGTACCGCCTCCACACCAAAGAGAGGACGATCTCTTGAGCTTTTTGACACGTGCGGTGATTCTAGACAGTGGAAGAAAAAAAAAACACTTTTTGGCAGAATTGCAGAATTGGTTGCCGCTACTCAAATGACGATGCGTGCATCAGGAAAACCAGTCGCTGCGGTGGCAATAATGAATAAAGTTCCATTTCCCCAACAAACGCAGAGATAGCTGTGTACCGTATCTACAATACAACTGAGTGTGAATGTTCCAATCTTGAGAAATTGTGAAATTACTCAAGAAAGTACGATTATTACAATTACGAAATTAAAATTACGAAAATTAAAAAATTAAAAATTAACAACTATTTTGACGAGGCATATACACTATATTATTATGTACATGTAATTTTTTAGTAAAAATAAATGCTTTTTGTCTGTCTATACTAGGTAAAATAAATGTTTGAACTTCTGGGCTCTAATTATGTTTTCGGCACCACGTTAATAGCCCACCACAAAAAAAGTCTACCTTTTTGAAATTTAATAATTTCGGTTGAGAGAGCTGAAATAGAAACATTTATTTCATCAAACATATTTTTTCATTTTTTATATAACTCAACATTAAAACGAACGTTTTATTCAAAACTTCCATTTTTTTATTTAAAATTTTGAAATTGTGTCAAAGAACATAGAATATTAAAATGAGAAAATTAAAACAAAAATTACTAAAACACAGTTTCTGGCAAAGCAATTAGAGGATGAGTAGATTTTGCCCATTCGCGTCGGGATGTGGTGAAAGTTCTATGAGAGGCATGCAACGGGGAACTTAAAAAAAATTTACGAAGTCCTCGTTTGGCGTACATTTATTGTTCTCCTACACTAGTTTTCTTCCAAAAATCCAATACATTTTGTAGCAAAATGTATTTTAACCTTTGTAAAAATCAAAAGGTTGTATATCGTTTGAAGAAAATTTTAATTAATTAATGTAAAATGTATTGAACTAGATACATCCCTAATCAGTATTTGATTAAAATGTGAGTGTGAGTATGTGCGATTGTGCGGTTCCGTCACCCGCGGCTAGACCACTTCCCGAGCACCAATCGAGACACATGAGGTGTCATTTGACTTATCTCGGTCACCTAATGGTGAACTGGTTTTCGGATTCAGTCAGAAGATTCAAAGAAATTTGGCGAAACGTGTTTTTCGTGTTTTGGCGCTACAATCTTATTGATAAAGTCAGGAATTAACCCAACTCCTCCTAAATAGATCAATGTAAGTCACGTTGATTAAACACCAGTTCCCAAACGTATTTTTCGCACAACACGCCATCATTTTCTTTGACGACGTTTGTAACACAGAGGTTGACATTTTTAAGTGAACAATTGAATTACCAAGTAAATCGCGATGCACATTGATTTCAATTTAGATTCGAATTATCGTATTTAAAAAAAAGCGAAAACCTACGAACAGTATTGCCTCGAACATTTTAAACTTGAATTTCAGGTGAATACAAAGAAAACAAAATTGTAATTGCAATTTTTCAGACACCAAAACTCTGAAAGCCATTGAGAACAGATTAACCTCCAATCCAATTATCCAAAGAATGCAGGAAATTCCAGAAAAGCAAGCTACAAATTGGATCTAAATAGAAATAGTATGGATCCCCTCGCACAATAAAATCATTGGCAATGAGAAAGCTTATGCATCCGCTAAACTAGCCACATCAATTACCTGCGCCGCCATCAAATTCAAGGCACTTTACAAGACTTTAAAAAGTTTGTAAAAGACTCCTGCCTCAGTTATTGGAACTCTAGCTGGAAATTCAATGTTTCCAAACTCCATTTAGTGAGACAATCTATTATTGATCCAACTCTCCCTGGAAAACATTTTAAGAGGACAGAACAGGTTGTAGTCACT